TGATATTTCTATTGTTTGCTAACTGCCACAGACATTTGACGGGAGCAGTGTTCAACTGTGAAAAAGGGGCTATTGAGTTTGGAAATTGTCTTCCTCAGCCTGTTCCAATGCTTGACAAACATTTATTTGAAGAAATTTTTCCTAATATCTAATCTAAAGTTTCTCTGGCACAACTTGAGGCCATTTCCTCTTGTCCTATCACTTGTCACTTTCCAGCCACGCGTCCCCAGACCTGTAGAGTTGCAGGGGGTTGTTGTGACCCAAATGCAGGACCTGGCACTTGGCCTTGTGGAACCTCACACAGTTGGCCTCGGCCCATCAATTCAGCCTGTCCAGATCCCTCTGTAGAGCCTTCCAACCCTCAGGCAGATCAACACTCCTGCCCAACTTGGTATTGTCTGCAAACTTACTGAGGGTGCACTTGATCCCCTTGTCCAGATCTTTGACAAAGATATGAAACAGAACTGTCCCCAGTACCAAGCCCTGGGGAACACCACTTGTGGCTGGCTGCCAACTGGATTTAACTCGGTTCACCACAACTCTTTGGGCCCAGCCATCCAGACAGTTTTTTACATGGTGAAGTGTGTGCCCATCCAAGGCATGAGCAGTCAGTTTCTCCAGGAGAATGCCATGGGAAGTACTTGATGAGCAGTTTGAGAGAAGTCAAAACAGTAAGAAATTCAGCTTGCAAGGATAGGTGAAGTTAGTGTAATAATGTAGTAAGTTCATAGGATCTTAGGATACTTCAGGTTGGAAAAGACAACAGAAGATCATGTAATCAAACTGCTCAAAGCAGAGTAAGCTGTGGGGTCAGATCAGGTTGCAGTACTTTATCCAGTTGTCTGAACATTGCCATGCTCTCACACTGCAAGCTCACTTTGGAATATGTATTCAGATATAGTTTAGGACTTCTGTTCTTTTTCTTTTTAAGATTAGATTACCTGTTTTGGAAGTTTCAGAATTCACTTTTAGCTTTCTTTTCAACATATCACTGTTTGAGAGATGGGAAGAGGAGATTTCTGCAGGATATCACCTGGAGTTCAGATTTGAAAAAATGTTACTCCCTTCTTAAAAGGGAGGGTATTAAAGGCAAATCTGGATTTGCCTTGAAAATAGAAAAATAGGTTGGTTAGATCAAACTGGCTAATCTTGGTGGTTCTTAGTCAAACCTCATATTTTAGACCTTGCGTAGTCCTGCTATTTAGTTTCAGTTTGTATGACATTACTAACATGGATTAATTGTATGTGCAGAAAGTGTCAGTAATCTAAGCAGAAGGGTGGCACTTCATTCAGAATTATTCAGAGGAATCTAGCAGCCTGTAAACTGCTTTTCCTCCTTTCTTTATGTTACTGCATGTTAATACAGTAAAAACACCTATCTTACAGCACTTTCTAAACAGCAAAAACAGATGCTAAGTCTTCTGAAGGATACTGAAGTTTTCTCAAGATCGATGTCTTCTTGCTTTCACGCAAGCCCAGCAGTTAAAATAACTAGGTTTTCAGTTGCTTGGATGATAAATAATATTTCAACTGAAATTTGAAATCTGCTTAGAGTGATGCAAAATCTTAAATTTTTAATAAGTACATTTTTAATTCATTACTGCACTCATAATATGGAAATAAGAGGTAGGCTTTATAATAATTAAGGTGAAGTTAACGTAACGTAGAAATAGGACTTGGGGATTTATTTATGATGTGCTTGTCAGCATTAATGGAAAATTTTTTGTACTTTCTGTTTGCATCTAATCTTCAGACCTAATCCACATATTTTTCCCCTACGTCAGTGTACTTCAGTATTGAAAAATACATTTGGTGTGGTTTTTTTTTTGGTGGGGTTATAAGAACTCTGCTCTCTTATATGATGAAACTGAATTTTGGTTGGCAGTGGCTGTAGGAGGATGGGAATGTTGGGAGTCCTTCCCAAGAGCAGCTGTGTGGCTCAAATAGACTAGTACCCCTTCTGAGCTGATAGTTGTAAACATATTCCTGGTAGGAACACAGATGACATTCTCTATTAGGAATTTACCCACGTAGAGAGTTTCTTCCTGAGTATTGTGAATGGTATCTTAGCTTTGTATTTTGTAGTATGCCTGTGTATCCTTTTCAAATACATTAATAATCATAAAAAAGCAGTTAGTGGTAAAATTTCCAATTATGATATTTACTTTCCTCTGAAGTGATACAGAACAGACAGGTGATGAATGTGGAATTACATTACATTTTTAATTTGTTGTTGTTATTAATGAATTAATTTCCTGTATAAGACTGTTAACATTACTTCTATTTCTTCTTTATATATGTCAGTAGTTTTGCTATTTTTTCTCCCTCTTTTCCTTTGGGAAGCAATTCAGGTTGTCTTCAAAGACTCTAAATATGCTGTCTAACTGAACTGACATCTTGTTAATACGCCATTTTATTGCTAGCTCCTTCCTTTTCTAAATAGATATGAACTGGTCTGGCCTTTTTATTTATATTTTTTTTTTCTTGCTAAAGTGGAGTCTGACATTGACAGCTTGCTCACAGACTTCAAAAGTTGCATTTCTTACTGGAGAGTCAAGCTGTGTTGAAGTAACCATGTGTGGGACTCTGCATGTGCAGAGAAGAGGTGGTTTTCTTGTTTTAGCAACTGCAAGATACACCATGGGCCAGGCCTTCTGGAGAAACCTCCTACTGTAGATTTTGTCTTGTTTTGGAACTGAGGTGTCTTAATGCCTTGGAAAAACCTGTTACCATTCTGCTGTTTCTCCCAATAGATCCCAGTTGCTGTTTTTTGAATATGTAATGAGAGGTGTTTAGTGTAATTCTTGAAAAATGTATACAATTTTCATAAGGGGGAATTGACAGGCTTACTCTGGATATTCTAGAAGATGCGTATTTTTCCATTGCCAAAAAGTGTATGATTGTTTTCCAGTCAGTGAAGTGTGTATTATCTTTGCTATCCTCTTTTTCTGGCACAATGGGCTTTATTACCATTTTGTAGTATTCTTATCTTCCTCATTATATGGTTTGTTCATTGTTCTCATAATACATGCCATCTGAACTGTTTTTTGTTTGTTGCAGGTTATTTTTCTAGTGGCAGTGCTTGTCTCTACTGCAGTGGGGAAAAACTGTCATGCTTTTTCTAGAAAATAAATAATTTCTTTGCCTCAGTTTTCACTGTAATATCTTTGGCTCTTCTGCCTCATTAGTGCTTGGATTCAGTCTGTGGTGATCCTGAACACCTTTTTCTGAATTCCTGCCTAGGCAAGTAACTAGACTTGTATTGATATTGCCTTTTTCAGTATCCTTGTAGCCTAATTTCTCTTTAGCCTGTCATGAATTATGTTTTCCAGTGTGCTGACTTGCTATTTAACTTGTGGTTTTAAGGCACCTTCTGAGCTCTTCTTAAAAGAGTGATGTTGAATAGCTCTTCCCCTGTGCACTAGAAATGTACTTACTTCATGAGGTAGCTTCCTTAACTGGAGACCTCATGCACCAAGGGTTTAATATTTGGCTGATTTTCAGATGGTTACAAATACAATATAGAGAATTGATTCAGTTTCCTTGCATAAATTCTGGTCTATCTTGTGTACTGCAAAACCAAGTTGCACTTTCATTCTTCTGTAATGTCTAATCTCTAGCTTAATTAAGAAATCTCAAATACCATAAAATAAGCTTGGTTTTTTGGTTTTTTGGTTGGGTGGTTTTTTTTTTTTGGTCATTTAATTCTTAGCCATGAGAACTGGAAGACTTCCTAGTCATTTTTGTATAGGATGATGCAGATTTTAATGGGTGGGTGTTGGATGTTCTTTTAATTAGCTTACAATAGAATATAAAGTACTTTTTCAGTGCATGTTATAGTTTAGATTAGTGTGAAAATTTGCCTTTTGATAGTTCTTCCTGCTTAGTACCACTTCATTAAAAATAGAAAAAAAGCCATGATAAATTAGAGATCAGGAAACCTTGTTACTATATTTCTATGTGAAATTCGGGGAACATGTGTCACCATTCAAATTCTGAAATGTGTTTGAAACTAAGCTGATGAAGACTAGTATTTGTGAGCCAGGAACACTGAAGTTACTTTAGTGGAAAAGAGTGTTATTTGGTGACTTCTGCAGTGCCGGAACCAAATGTAATAGGTTGTAAGCCAGTTTAGCCTGCTGTTAATTAGCTCGAATGCTGTCAACTTATGGCAACAGTGCAATTTTCTTTCCAATATATTTTTAAAAATAAATATAGCTATATTTGAAAGGTGGGAATTTTTTGTAAGGCATGGGCTTTTCTCTAAAAGCAATTTGGGTTGCTGAAAAAAATGTTACAGAAACTTTCATTTTTCTTTTCTCTTTTTTTCTTCCTTTTAATGATGATTATGACATGCCTTGCTGTGAAGGAGAGAAAAACTTCCAAGTTCACGTTTCTTAATAGAACAAACTACAGCTCTGCCAATGAGACTTACTTTGGTTTGTAGTATGTTCTTTAATTAACTAGAGTTTAAATACAGTGGGATTTCAGAAGGTTTACTTTTCAGCTCCATTATTGACACACAGCTTCAAAATTACGCTTTAACCATACTGACACAAGGCAAACAATTAAGTGTGGTTAAACATACTATGCCAAATTAGACCTTGTTATTTTGACTTTTCAACTACCAAATGCTTTCAATTCTCAGGTTTGCTTTGAGGATTTGCTCCAAATTTTAATGAATTTTTCTCCGTTATTAGACCAAATGTGATGATTTAGATCACTGAAATAAGAACTTATTAATAGCATGCTACAAAGACTGTTTTCTATGCTATTGAAATTCTGACTTGCAGAATAGTATGGGTTTTACATTGTTTCACTTCTGTGAAATCCTTTAAAAGTTTCTTAGTCTTGTGTGTGTGTATGTACACATATATTGTCTATGAGAGCTTAAAGCTTTATAAAGCATTATGATTAATTCTAATTAATCATCTATTCCCAAATGATTTTTGCCTGATTACTACAGCTGTGCTACTTTGACTTTTCTGCAGACACCAAAGATGCTAACAAGAAAGATTAAACTGTGGGACATTAATGCCCATATCACCTGTCGTCTGTGCAATGGATACCTGATTGATGCTACTACTGTAACAGAATGCTTACATACTTGTAAGTAGAAGTTTAATTAAGTTAAAGAAATTGGATTTGGTTTTGGTTTTTGGGGGGGGCGGGTTGGGGTTTTTTTGTTAACTTGATGTGCAACACTTTTAGTTGAAATTTAAAAAATCTACTGTGCATCAGCCAAAATTATGTGTGCATTACTAGACAGTGTTTTTAACAGATGATTTGGTTTTTTTAACAAAGCACTTAAAGAGATTATCAAAGCTGTACTGCACAAACGTGAACCATGTACAAGTGGTAATGTAGGCATTTAAGAATGCGGTCTGTCTTCCTGCTATAACAATGTGGAATGCCTAGTTCTCTCTTCTGTAACGGTTGATGTAACATACATTCTCCACCTGCGGCCTGCCAAGTGTCTCTTTCTGCTCTCTGCAGAAAGCAGCCATAGGTTATCAAACAAAGGGTAAGTATATTGTATTGTACCCTAGAAATAAGCTTGTGTTTCAAAATAATGTGATGAGATAGTAGTTTGTTATTATGTTACTTTCTGAATTTCTAGTTTCATATCGTCAAAGTGTAGGCTGCAAGAAAACTGAAGGTGTAAGTCCATCCTAGCATCTTTGTTTTTGACATCGTGGGATATATAAGTGCCAGGCCTTTCAGTATTCTGATGGGAAACTTGTGTATTAGCACAGTTCCAGCTTAAGAGCTGGAGAGATTCCTTCTGAGAAGTACCCTTATAGTTCAGCATAACTCCAAAGCCCACAAAACTCCCTCAGGTGACATCATCTACACAATTTTTTACGTTTGCATATGGAGTACAGTTTTAGGTTAATCCACAGTGCTACAGTGCATACTTCAAAATCCAGAGAATGCTCCTTGCTAGCTTCTGCTGCTTCTCTCTGGCATCATTTGTATTGTGTATGTTAATGCTAACAATACATGCTCCTGGAAAACAATCCTTGCAAAATCTATCCTGAAACTGCCCAGTCTGTTGAGATAGTGATCTCTGCTGAATTTCACCACCTTTAAATTTTCTTTCTGTTCCTACTTAGAACTGCATAGTTTTCTTATCTTCTGCTGTCCTTCAGACATTCAGTCTCTTCAGTAGAAAAGTAGTTCTTGAGTCCTTTGGTGGGAGTCATTTGGAGAACCAGAGCCAGTCTTTTTTGGAGAGACAGGGCCAACTTCTTTTGTAAAACAGAATTCAGGGGAAAACAAGCTTTTTTGCTCCCTTTCCTACTTGTTTCTCTGCTATATCTTTAGTTTGTTGGTGACAGGGCTATAAAGCTGTCCTCATGTTAGGAAAGGGAAAGCATCGTGCTATGAAAGGTATAGTTTTGTGGGTTCATGAGGATGGTTAAAGACAAACTGTATTTCTTGAACTAGATAAGAAATAAAAAAGTTAAGAGAAATGAAACTGTTTAATCCTCACTCACTTTTTTTTTTTTAAAAAAACCTTTCCTGTTCCTTTTCTAATGAAAATTCTGTGATATGTTTAAGTGTACTGTAAAAGCAACCAGAAAATGTACAGCCCACTTCAAGCCTACAATCAGTACAACCAAGTCTCTGGTTAAATGGAGAACAGGCTTTGGATATCCCAGATAATGGAAAAACTCTACTGTTTCAGAAACTAGAATAGTTCCCGTATTGGCTGTCTCATACTCTCAGGACTTGTAGGTCCAGGAGAATTTATTAATCCCAGCTAGACTCTGTGGAAAACAAAACAAAACAACCCACAAGACTGAAGCACCCTATGTAAGCTATCCAGTTGCATTTACTGGGATACTGTGCTTAGGCTAATAAACCTGCCAGAACCTGAGCTGAGTTGTGATGAGCTTGCTCTAGGAGGAGTGTATACCTAGTCCAAACTGGAATATGTACTGAAATAGAAGTTTGTTTTAGAAGGTATCATAGAATCCTGAATGGTTTGGGTTGGAAGGTACCTTTTAAAAGTCATCTAATTCAACCCCCCTGCAATAATCAGGGACATTTTCAACTAAATCAGGTTACATGGAGGCCTGTCCAGCTTGACTTTGAAGGTTTCCATGGACAGGGCATCTACCACTTCTCTGAGCAACATGTTCCAGTGTTTCACCACCTTTGTCATGAAAAATTTCCTCTGTATATCTAGTCTGAATCTACCCTCGTTTAGTTTAAAACCATTACTCCATGTCCTATTGCTATAGGCCCTACTGAAACATTTTTCCCCATCTTTCTTAAAAGCCCGCTTCAGGTACTGGAAAGCTGAACAAGCACAACTCTCTCAGCCTCTCTTCACAGGAGAGGTGCTTCAGCCTTTGGGTTATTTTTGTGGCTCTCCTCTGGATCTGCTCCAGCAGGTCCATATCTGTCTTGTACTGGGGGTCCTAGAGCTGGACACAGCACTTAAGGTGAGGTCTCATCAGAGCAGGAGTAGAGGGGCAGAATCCCCTCCCTCAACCTGCTGGCCTTGCTTCTGTGCTGTGAGTGCACATTCTGGCTCATGTCCATTTTTTTCATTCATCAGAACCCCCATGTCCCTCTTGGCCAGGCTGCTCTCAATCCTTTCATCCCACAGCCTGTATTGATACCATAGGGTGTCCTGACTGAGGTACAGGACCTTGCACTTGGCCTTGTTGAACCTCATGAGATTCACATAGGCCCTCTTCTTGAGTTGTCCAGGTCCCTCTGAGTGGCTTTCTGTCCCTCAGGTGTATTAACCACAACACTCAGCTTGGTCTTGTTTGCAAACTTGCTGAGGGTGCACTCGATCCCACTGTCTATCATCGATGAAGATACTAAACAGTACTGGTCCCAATATGGGCCCCTAAGGCACACCACTCATCACTGATTTCCATCTGGACATTGAGCCATTGACCACTACTCTCTGGTGGTGACCATCCATTCATACCAAGTAGTCCATCCATCTCTGCAATTCAGAACGAAGGATGTTGTGGGGGACCATGTGAAAGGCCTTGCAGAAGTCCAGGTAGATGACATCTGTAGCTCTTCCCTTGTCCACTGATGTAGTCACTTGATCACAGAAGGCCACTAGGTGGGTCAGTCAAGACTTGACCTTGGTGAAGTCTTGCTGGCTGTCTGGAATCACCTACCTGTTCTCAACGTGCCTTAGCATAGCTTCTAGGAGGCTTTGTTCTGTGATCTTCCCAGGCACAGAGGTGAGGCCTATAGGTCAGTGGTTCCCAGAATCCTCCCTTTCTACTGTTTTTTAAAAACGGGTGCAATGTTTCCCTTTTTCCAGTCACTGGTGACTTCCCCTGACTGCCATGACTGTCATGGAAAGTGGCTTGGCAACTACCTCAGCCAATTCCCTCAGGACTCTGAGGTGCTTCTCGTTAGGTCCCATAGATTTATGTATGTTCGGGTCCCTCTGGTGGTTGCAAACCTGATCTTCTCTTACAGTGAGAGGGACTTTGCTCCCCCAGTCCCCGTCTGGAGGTTCATTCACTCAAGAGGTGTAGGAAAAGTGGTTGACAGTGAAGCCTGTGACAAAGAAGTTGAGTACCTCAGCCTTCTCCTCACCTGTTGTTACCGGTTTGCCAGTCGTGTTCATCGTAGGGGTACACTTTTTTTGACCTTCCATTTCTGGCTGACATACCTCTAGAAGCCCTTCTTATTCTTCTGTGTCCCTCACCAAGTTCAGCTCCAACTGCGTGTTGGCCTTCCTGACCCCATTCCTACGCAACCAGGCAACATTCCTATGCTCTTCCCAGGATACCTGTTGATGCTCCCACTGTTGGGTTCTGCTTTCCTTGACTTGATAAGACTGTCACTTTTGCAAATGAATCAGCTACTCTGTCATTCTAGTGGAACAGACTGCTGTGTGAGATCTGTGCTTGGTGTGCAAAACTATGAGGCTTGGTCTAACCATAACCTCTACCACCAAAAGTACTGTCATCCTAAGTGGGTAAATACAATTCAGGATGCAAATGTACCATGCTTCATTTGCTGCTGCTTTTTTTTTTTTTTTTGTATTAACAGGTGTTTATAATATTGTGCTGTCATCTTGTCTGAGAGGTAGATGGCACTGTAGTTACAAAAATTCTTTCATTTTATGTGATAAGAACAAGTATGTTAATGCCAAGATTACATGAATTACTGCTGTTTAAAAAAAAGCTAGTCTTCTTCCCCTCCCCTCTGGCTTTTTTTTTCCCTCTATATTTTTGAGCTGTAACTTCAGGTGAGTCAGGATATCATGTAGTAGTGTGTATTATGAGTACTGGTTTAGAGAAGGGGAAGTGTTATGTAGTTTACTTTGAATGAGATTCGGGTTACTGTGTGTATGCACGTGAAAACAGTTCCAAAAGCATGCAGCTTCGTAACAGATGACTGCTTTAGCAACTTCTACCAGGAAGTTCTACAAATACTGAAGCTCTGTGCCCATGTCACTTTGTTTCTGGTGGAAGTTTAACTCTAGTGTACTCTGTAAAAGGTAGAATTAAATAGTACCTGGATATCCACTTCCGGAAAGTTTTCTGTTCTTTCAAAAATTATCCAACCTTGGAATAACTTTTTTCACTTTCATTCTGTATGTGGCTGTGGTTAAAGCACATATGCTTAGTCTCTTAGTGGCATACAGTTCCTGTAATATCATCTGTGCAAGGTGAATGGTGCAAGCAATATGATGTTGACCTGCTACAAATTAGTGTTCTAGCAAATTCTGGGGTGGGATTGTGTGTTATATGCTTTATTACGAAGACTTTGGCTGGGTACGGATGCCTTAATTCTAGTGCATTACTTCCCTGTATCAAGAACATTAATGAAAGATACTAGAAACTGTATTCTGCATGATTAGACACCATGCCTATGTGCTGTAAGAAAAGAACTTTCCCTAATGTGCATTTCTGTGACTGTATAAAAACGACCTCTTTTTTCATTATGCTGCTTTCCTTTCTGTTTAATTATGAATGCCCTTGTTACCAGTCTGTAGAAGCTGCCTAGTGAAATATTTGGAGGAAAACAACACCTGTCCGACCTGTAGAATTGTTATACATCAGAGCCACCCATTACAGTATATTGGGTAAGTATGAAAGCAAAAGTGCAACTAACTTCACTCTAGGCTGTTTCAGCCTCTTTAATACATCACAGCTTTTTCCTAAAGCTTCTTCCTTGCTTATCAGCTTGTTAAACATTTAAAAGAACAGTTAAATGTGATTGAGGAGATATGGGATCAAACTGTGCTATGAATTTGCAACTCCTTCACATCTGTTAGCTTCTTCCAGACTTAAAAGCAAGCAAAGTATGCACTTTACTCTTTCATTTCTGTGTGAGTTTTAATGGGATTTAGTCATTCCTCACTTTGTATGCTTGGATCATAAAAATTACATAAATGAAACATCTGTGAAAGTTATACTTCTGCAAAATCCTCAAAATAATTGGTCTCAGTTAACAGTGCCTTTCAGTGTCTTGACAGTAATGAAAGAAATAATTGTCAGCTTTATTGTTCAGTTAATCTCTCAAAGGTCTGTTTAGTTCATAGAAACATGTAAGAATATTAGATAGTAAAAATATTAGACTAGTGGCTTTAATCTCTAAAATGTAACAATCTTGTTCTTTGTTCTGTTTGGATCCCTACACAGAGTGCTTTCACTTTCTGACCTAACATGAATATTGTACTGTTCATCATGTTTTTAAAAATTTTTTTGCTAAGTATTTTTGTTGGGATTTCATTTCTGTAGTTTTCAGAAGAGACATTCCCTTTCTTTTCCTTCACTTCTTTCCTTTCATTTTACCGTAGTAACTTTTGCTAATGAAAATCCATTGTGACAGTGCGTTTGCACTAGCTGTTGCATATCAAGTAATGTTTTGCCTATCTTTATAAAGAGTTGGCTTTTGTCTGGCGGTTTTCAGGGTGCCTTTTTCATCTAACAACTTCTGGAGCAATGCTTATAGAAAATTAGTCTGATTTCTGTTCACTTTTACAGAAAACTGTTTGTATTCTATACACACTTACATTGCTCAAGTTGATCATGATTCAGGAGTCTGAAACTAGTTATGCCTTCTCTGCATTTGAGGAGTAATAGTGTACACTCATAATGTATTATATGACACACTTGTACTACCCTATAAGGGTGTGTGCTTTGAAGGGAAAAGTAGATGCCAATAGGGAAGAATGAATGAATTACACTTAAGACATTATGTTTGCCTTCTGTAAAGCTACAGGAATACACCAGTGCCTTGGTTCAGAAGCTTGTTTTCTGTGCCAAAAGGGGCACCAGGAAACAATATTGGATTGAGAGCATCTAGAAAGGAATTTGCTACTTTATTTTGGACATGGAATACACTTCAATGGAAGTCTTTTGTCTGAACTAGTTATAAAATACCACCCCTTCAAGACTGAAACAGCCTTTGCCCAGCCTACTTCTGGATATGCATTTTTTTAATAAAGAGTTGATAGGAGTTTCACAATATGTCTTAGAATGTACATTTGCACTCCTATTTATCTGGAAACCAGCTAAACCAAATGTCTCCTATTTCACATTTCTGAATGTTCTTAAATTCTCACTTCTGATCTAATAGTGATGGCTGACTTACTCATTTATGTTGAAGTATTTTTGGAGATGTTCTTGCAATCCATATATGACACTTGAAAATTCCAGACTGTGCAAATGGGATTGCTGCTGGTTGAAATGACACGAATTAAGAATTAATGGTTGTGCTGCTTTTAGTCAGGACAGAGTTAATTTCTTCACAGTAGCTCATATGAGGCTGTGTTTTGGATTTGTCCTGAGAAGAGTACTGATAACATTGGTGTGTTTTAGTTGTTGCTAAGGAGTGCTTGCACCAATTCAAGGACTTTTTCAGCTTCTGATATTATGCCTGTGTTCCCACCTTTCTTCCTACAAGTTGGGGGAGGTGGTGGACAACGACACAGTTCAGACCACTAACCCAAACAACCATAGGCGTATTTCATTCCATAGAACATCATGCTCAGTACATAAGCCAGTGGTGGGCCGGGGGGGCATAGTTTTGTTTGTTGGTTAGTTGGATAGTTATTTGGCTTTCCCGGTTGTGCTGTCACTCGTGGGGCTTGCTTGGCCTCTGCTGCAGTCGCTCTCAGGCTCCCGCTCTCGAGCTCTGACTCTCACTGCTCTGGACATGGCTATGTATCAGTCAGAGGGTAGTGACCAATGGTATAACTTCTTTTATTTTCCATTATTTTAATTACTTATTAATAGTGTTATCAATAGTATTAGTATTACTATTTTATTCATTTATATTCAACTGTGAAATTGTTCTTGTCTCAATCCATGAGCTTGCCTGTCTTTCCTCTGATTCTTCTCCACTGGAGGTCGGGGGAGGAGGGGTGGGCAAGCAGGTATGTGGTACTTAATTGCTGGCTGAGGTTAAACCATGAAAATGATACTTTGATTGTTTTTTGTAGTGCTGCTTAAAAGAATGTAATGACCAACTGTAAATCTCTTGATTTGTTGCCATTTCTGTACTTGCTCACTGATATTTTTTTTTTTTTTCCCCCCACACACACTTCACTGCAGTGAAGTGCTTATGCCAGGTGATGAGAAGCCTGAGACTACTCTTGTAAACCTCTTACCTTATTTAAGTCAGATTTAGGATTTGGTATTTCAAGCTCTGTGGGGGTACTGACCTTGCAGCAGCAGAGCCATGCAGTTGAAATTTTTCTGATTTTATTTATCTGTTGGAATTCAGGGTAATATTTTGTTCCTTTCAGACAATGACTTATTTTAGACTAAAACAGAATTTTGCCTTGGTGAGCTGGGAGTTAAAGTCTAGAAACTTAACCAGACCACCTGCTACAGTTCCAGTGGGATTATTACCTTTCTTGTAATTGAGCCACACTACCTTTACAGACTTCTGAGCTACATAATGTTGCTCACAGTTAAACAGTTGACTTTTAAGAGCAAATTAACATTTCACTGTTGTGGTCTTTTTCTGTGAACTATTTTCTTGCAGTTTTGGAAGAGCTTAGCAAAGTTAACCAAGTTGTGTAGAAAGATGAGAGATGAGTCTGTAGGGGTAAGAAACAGTCTATCCTTGATTCTTTTGAAATAAAAATGAGTTTACCTCAAAGTTACCTTAGAATTTTGGAATTATTAGTGACATACGTCATTGATGCATGAGGCCTTGTTCCATGGGGTGTTGTACTCCACATGTTCAAGACTATTCTTCCTCCAACTTCTATTGGGTTTCTGCCTTTACTTTTACTTAATGTGCTTCAGTTACTATCCTCTCTTGTTTGATATAAATAGTGACTTAAGAACTGAAAATCATCTTAGGTGAATTTAGAGATTTTACACCAATTTAGTACTGTAGCTTTTTTGAAAGAAATGTTTTGAGTGAAGACTTAAACTTTTGCTTTTTTTTTTTTTTTTTTCCTTGCTAGTCATGACAGAACAATGCAAGATATTGTTTACAAACTTGTGCCAGGCCTCCAAGAAGGTAAGTTGTGGCACGACCAGCATTGGAGGTCATTTTGCACATACTTCTTTAACACTTAAAACAAAACAAAGAAAAAAAATCAGGTGAAGAAAATGCCGGGGAGGGAACTGAGGAAAAATACAATGGAAAATCATATTCCATAATTTACGTTATTTCTAGTTACTAGTTTAATTTTCTGCCTCTACTAATAGCAATTGGGAGAGAGCATAGTGGGAGTAAAGATGGAATATTTCTTCAAAAAGTAGTATTATGTAAAGCAGAATAGTAGTTCAGATTTTGAATGCTGGCACACTGTAACATTCGTTTGTTCTCTTCAAACTGTGTGTTTAAACCTGTTGCTCCAGCTTTCTAGAATTCTGAGGGATAGAAGGTAATGCATAACAGCTTTTAATTTCAGTGAAGTTTCTGGTACTGTGAGGCCTTTCTTAGCAGGTAACTTTCAATCTGTGTTTTCATAATCCTCTGAGATTGGATGTGTTCAACTAAAGAAGTACTTTATAGTAACTGCTTAATAATTTTTATCTTAATAGATGTTACAACTTTCATTTAAATAGACTATTTTAATCAATTTAAGTCACAAACCCAAAACATTCTCCAACATCAATAACATTAGATTATTTAAAAATTATTTCTAGCATACTAAATATCAGAACTATAAATAAAATTTCAAAAACAATGGTTTGACTGAAATATTGTGGTAGAGATTCAAAATAAGGTACATTATTTTAAATACTATCTCATTCTAATAGGAGTTCTACAATAGTAGCTGTACAGATGACTTCATAGTGTTTTAATTCTGAAAAAAAAGGGCCATGACTTGATACAAAACCAAGGACAGAAGAGTAGTAAATACTGACACTACTACTACTTGTTGGAAACCTGTTTCACTTAAGAGGGAAGGGATTTGGAATAACTTCATAAATATTGCATTAGAAATTTATTACAGGGATTAATATTTACAATTTTAAACAGCGGAAATGAAAAAGCAAAGGGAGTTTTATCACAAACTGGGCATGGAAGTTCCAGGGGACATCAAAGGGGAGACATGTTCTACAAAACAGCACCTAGATTCCCATCGAAATGGTAAATGGTCCTTTATTTATTTTGTCTTGGGCGGGTGATGGCTAGAAAATTGATGAACAGTGCCTGGGTGGTTCATTACAATCACAATTGTTTTATAACACTGCACAATACAGTGAGTGTAGGATTGCTGCTTCGTTCCTTATTTGTGCACAGAATCTTGCTTTTTAGCTGGTCATGGTATATTACTCTTGATGAATGAGATTTCCATACTGGTGTCTACGTGGGAACTCTGTGAAATGACCCAGCTTCTGGGCTACTAGCAGTTGAACTGAAGGTTGTGCTTTCTGTGTGTTCCTCTGTTTCCTGAGTGGGGCTGCTGGCAGGCAGTGTTGCCTAAGCAGATAAGCACATTTTGGGAAAAGCAAGGTTTATTCTATATAGAATCATAGTATGGTTTGAGTTGGCAGGGACCTTAAAGATCAGCAAGATCCAACCCCCCTGCCATGGGCAAGGACACCTTCCACTAGACCAGGTTGCTCAAAGCCTCATCCAGCCTGGCCTTGAAGACA